CTTTGCGGAGGTAGTATAATATACCTGTTCGGTTATTTACGTGTCCGGATGTTTAAAAAGCATCGCCGTACTAGTCCTAAGTCCTAAGGAGTTTAGACCCTAAACCCTGAACCCTAAACCTACGTGAGCCCCAAAATAACCCCCTTTAAGGAGTTAAGATTGTGGCTCAAGTGGTTCAGCATTTGCGAATCCAGGCCGCCGGTCCCCACGAAGTTCCAAACGGTGGAGAAACCCTGAGCCCAGATGGGCTATAGTCCAAACTCCTCAAAAGGGTTTATGTAGGGGATTATAGGTGGGAGAATTATAGAGGTTATGAAGGGGGATACCAGGAGTTTAGACTAATGCGGAATTATAGCTCAAATCAAAACCATTTGTTTCAAAGCCTTCTTAGCACCCATACGCACGGACATGCAAAAAGATAGCTCCAGATTCCAAATCTCATGCGCTAAAGCCTAACACGCAAATCTGAAAACCTAAGCCCCCTACCCCCCCCCCCCCCAACTTTCCCAAAAACTTGCACCCTAAAACCCATAGTCCCCCTTAAGTAGATAGAATATGGCTTTGGGTAAGATCCCCACAAACCCCATATTCTATCTACTTAAGGGGGTCTATAGGCCCTAACTTAACCCTTCATGGCTCCCGTGGACCAGGGGCCATGGCGCCCCGTGCTCCACGAGCTTCGGGCCTGGCCGTGTTGGCATTTGGTGTGGGCCTGGGCTTTGCCGTTCCGAGGTGGGTGCCAGCCTTCAGGGTTTAGGGTTCAGGGTTTGAGGGAGGAGGGTTTGGGGTTTAGATTTTCTGGTTTAATTGGGGTTTAGGGGGAGAGTTCATGGTCTAGGAGGGCCCAGGGTGTACGGTATAGGGTAGACTACGTGGTTCATGGGTAGGCTGGCTAGCTTGTTATAAGTGAGTTTACAATGCCACCTGTCACTGCATGTGGACCTCCAAGTGGGTTTATGGTTTAGGGTTGAGGGTTTAGGGTTTGTGGGAGGCAGCTGGTCCCAAGCAGTTGGGGCTCATTATTGTAAGAGTTGAAACATCTTGAATTCTCCCCCTCCCAAGTCTTACTAGCAATATGTGGTAGTAGTCGTCTTCCGTCTTTTTTGAAGGCAGCAACGGAGGTGGTGATGGCGTTTGCCATGGCAGTGTAGACATGTAGCAGAACAGAACTTCAGTGCCTCTACTCCCCGCCACTGCTACCCCCGCTGCTGCCACTGACACCAGACTGTGATCATGGTCATGAAGCTCAACACTTTACTGTAAGGCACCGCAACCTTTCAGCTGTAGGTTCAGGCTTAGCAAACATCTGTGGCTCCTGGGAGGCTGGATGGCGTCAGAAGCCCTGCGCCAGCGGCAAGGGAGGCCCCTAGCCGAGGGCAGGGTTCAGAGTGGTGTTGGGTTTGGGTGCGTGGGCTTCGGGGGCTCAGGCACCCGGGTTTAGGGTTCAAAGTCGGGTCTGGATTGCAGGGGCAGTCGGCTGCTGACTGTTCTTTGGAGTGCAGGCTACAGAGTTTCTTTGCAGCAGGATGATGGGATTGATTCCTTTACATGAGCTTGAAGCTACGAACCGGTTACTAGACCCAGGGTCATTGCCTTGAATCAGTTGATGGTGTCAGACCAAATTCCCCAATATCTTCTTATGTAATCCCAGCCAGTGAACTCGTACATAGTCCCCCTGAACTCGAATGAACCATGAATCCTTACATCCCAATCCCACTCCCTTATCCCACAGCCCTATGCCCTAAACTCTAAATCCTTTACAGTAACCCCAAAGCATCATCCCGAACATGCAGACGCTTGAAAAACAGCAAAAATGGTTCCCTTGTTCCTGTTATGTAACCGTGGTGTGTTACAGGATTTAGGGTTTAGCTATATGGTATGTTACACCCCCCAAACCCTATTCTACTTGAATACCTGCATGACAATCCCCACCATGATCCCAGATGGATTAGGGTTTAGGGTTCAGGGATTAGGGTTTAGGGTTTCTCTGCTAGATTTTCGTTTCCATTTGACTCTCCATTATTCTAATTGTTTGGGCCCTGTATCAGTTTGCTAAACCAAAGCCCTAAACTCGAACTAATATGCTCGTTTCCACGGCCCCATATATCCCTACACCCTAACCCCGAACCCTAAACGCTAATCAATATCCACTTTCTTTTCCATAGCCGCCGACTCCCAGTTGCTAGCGAAGCACTCCGAGATGCCTACGTTCTGTGGGCGTGGTGCCCGGACAAGGAGGGCATCAAGGGACTAGAGGCCCAAAACCCCAGGGTTTAGTGGGTTTTGGCCGGTTTGGGGGTTTGGAAGGTTCAGGCACTTGCAAGACGCCCATCCCCAAAAGAGCAGACCTATTCCTTAGGAGGACCCCCCCCACCCTGTAGAGTAGGAATATAAGAGGACCCTAATATCATCCTTATTATCCCTCATAGCCACTATTACTGGGTGGGGGTTTACCTAACCTATTCCACACTACTCAGGCATTGTCTGAGTCCTTGATGTGGGGATCCTTGGATCGAGGTTCTTGGAGGTTGGGTCTCTCGCACTTCAGGTTTCGTGGCAAATTCATGTGAGCTGTAGTCTGAACTCCTAGTATCCCCCTAAATATCACCTATCATAGTTCCCTATAGCATCCCGTTTAAGGATTTTAGACTATAGCTCATACAGGGTTTGGCTGTTACACCTTACCACTAGTGTGTCGGTCGTAATATGCCGGCGCAAAGTTCCCAAAGAGCCCAATACCCCTTAATTAAGGAATATACCCTAAATGGAACTAAGGTCCCTAATATGAATTAAGCTATACCCCCTACATACCCCCTATATAACCCCTATCTGATTAATATGATTTAAGGTGTACCCCCTATACAACCCCTATATAACCCCCATATTACCCCTATACTGTTCCTTAATTAAGGGATATTGGGCT